CATTTAAACATACACTGTGCTTTACAGACACTGAAAGGACAAGATCCCAATCCCAAGCTGCCTGTAAAAACAAATATGAGAAGAGTATTATTTACAATTGGATGATGATATTTATTTTCCTAGTATGTTTACCCTGACTTCCTTGGCCAACATATTTTGTTTTTGGATTAATGACAACCTTAAAAGCTGAGGAGAATGAAGATCAGATCCATGCTTCATGAGGAAGGTTTGCAGCTGGTGTGATGATGGGATAAGTGATACAAACAAAGTATTGCATAATTTTTGGTTTCTTAATGTGTTAAAGTATTGGGTGTGGGGAGAGGTCAGTGAGGGAATATATAGATTGAAACTGACCATCCATCCATCTATCTTGTCCAGGGAAGCTTTGAGCAAAAGTAATTGCCAGCTCAGATTGTAATTGTTGACTTGCAGCATGTGAAATATGTTTGATATGTCTCAGCCCAGTTCCTAGTGTAACAATTATTATTATTATTTTTATCATGGTAACATCTAAGGACCCCACTGTACTAGGCTGTCTGCAAACAAACAACAGACAGTTGTTGCCTTGGAGAGCTCACAATCTAGTATCCACAACACACCCTTAATTGGTACAATTGTTGGTGGTCATAGCACTGAAACCAAAAATTGAAAGAACCTGGGACAACTCAATGTACATGCTGTCTGCATTTGAAGAATTATAGATCAGAACATGATGACGTGCAGATCATCTTGTGCGGTTTGAGAATGGTCTGTATAGACTCTCACAAAGAGCTATAAATAAAAAATTAAAGGAGTACTTGTGGCACCTTAGAGACTAACCAATTTATTTGAGCATAAGCTTTCGTGAAGTGAGCTGTAGCTCACGAAAGCTTATGCTCAAATAAATTGGTTAGTCTCTAAGGTGCCACAAGTGCTCCTTTTCTTTTTGCGAATACAGTCTAACATGGCTGTTACTCTGAAATAAAAAATTATGGCATTTGAAGTTATTTGCTTAATACATACCTTCATTTCACATTCTGTACAGTGCAATCAGGCTGTCATCTGTTATTGCAAAAGTGGGGAGGGTGGCAGATATTGTTAAATCTCATGATTCAGGGCGTAAGATGATTGCTTCAGGTATGAAGAAAAACTCAATCATTCATCACATACAGCATTGCACAACTGGCCATGGAGGAGAAAAAATTTGCCTCCCTGTGATTACTGGGGATGTGGGACACCAGAACAGATGGACCAAATGTCTGATTTTCTATAACCAGTTCAGGGTTCTCAGACATCAGGTGCGGCTCAGACATCAATTAAAAATCTGTGGGCTAAATTCAAAGGACATACAATTTTTGTATTGCTAGAAATATACTGAATTAGAAACTGATATAGTTATTCTAGTACAAACGCCTCCTGTGGATGTAGGTATGTTATAAAGGTACTTTATAACAGTATAGCTTATAAACCCCTAGTTGTATCGTTTTAGCTATATGGGTTTCTAAACCAACATAATTATAACAGTACAAAAACTGTGTTTAGATCAGCCCAAAGCAATGTATAAATGGGTCTAAGAGAATGGAAGTTGGTCATCAACGCTTCGATGTCATGGTAATAAGTGCTATACAGAAACCTTAGACAGATGGAGAGGTAGAACTTACACTCTGAAGGACCAAACGAAGTTGTACGTTACTCATGGTGGTTGTTGTTTTTTTCCCTTCTCTCTTAAACAGAGTTTGTCCTGCTCTGAGTGTTATAGTTTTGACTGGGTGAATGTACTGAACCTGACTTCATCTTGCACCCCGTGCACTGGGCCTGCCAGCTCCACTCTCCTGGCTCCACAGCTCAAGGCTAAGTTGCAGTTCTCCTCCAAGGTCTATATGTACGCAACATAATCAAGGCCCGACTCCAATTCTGTGCTCATGATAGACGCCTTCCAAGGTGAATACTAAGTCTCACTTCTTCCATGCCAACCACTAGACATAAGTCAAAGATACTTTGTGTTATATTTGTTGTTTTTTTAGTTAACTGAGCCAACGTGAAGCACACATGGCTAACCTGAGTAACAGCCTGATCATATTGCTGTAACTCATATCCTTGCTCTGGACACATGCTCCCTGCTGTTTGGCACTCTCACTCATTGAGTGGGATTTTCACAAGCCAGCAGTAGTCTAACTCTGCTCTCCATACCTTCAATGGGTAAAACTCCCCATGATTCCAGTGGGAAGAGAGAGAGGCCAATGAGGAGCACTTGTGAAAATCCCACTTGGTGTCTAAAATTTAGGCCCTAGATCCCGCAATTGGGGTCACGTGAATGGACCCTCGGAGCTGTTTGGAGCCCCATTGGCTTCATAGGGATGCTGCAGAAGCACGTGGGTCTTCCTGGAGGAGATCTGATTGCAAGACCAGAGACTTAAAATCCAAACTCTGAGACAGCTCTTCAGTATATGTTCTGGGGGTTGTTTAATACAATAAGCATGCCTTTGGGTACTCTAAAAAAATAGTAAGGTGGACTAGGGTGATATATTTCAGAGTAGCAGCTGTGTTAGTCTGTATCCACAAAAAGAAAAGGGGGACTTGTGGCACCTTAGAGACTAACAAATTTAGTTGAGCATAAGCTTTCGTGAGCTACAGCTCACTTCATTGGATGCATTCAGTGGAAAATACAGTGGGGAGATTTATATACACAGAACATGAAACAATGGATGTTACCATACACACTGTAACGAGAGTGATCAGGTACGGTGCGCTATTACCAGCAGGAGAGCGGGGGCTGGGGTGGGGGAACCTTTTGTAGTGATAATCAAGGTGAGCCATTTCCAGCAGTTGACAAGAACGTCTGAGGAACAGTGGGTGGGGGCAGGATAAACATGGGAAAATAGTTTTACTTTGTGTAATGACCCTTCCACTCCCAGTCTCTATTCAAGCCTCAGTTAATTGTATCCAGTTTGCAAATTAATTCCAATTCAGCAGTCTCTCCTTGGAGTCTGTTTTTGAAGTTTTTTTATTGAAGAATTGCCACTTTTAGGTCTGTAATTGAGTGACCAAAGAGATTGAAGTGTTCTCCGACTGGTTTTTGAATGTTATCATTCTTGACGTCTGATTTGTGTCCATTTATTCTTTTACGTAGAGACTGTCCAGTTTGGCCAATGTACATGGCAGAGGGGCATTGCTGGCACATGATGGTGTATATCACATCCGATGAAGTGAGCTGAAGCTCACGAAAGCTTATGCTCAAATCAATTTGTTAGTCTCTAAGGTGCCACAAGTCCTCCTTTTCTTTTTAGGGTGATATAGTTACTCTTTTAAAATGGTAGCTTGAAAAACACTGAAGTAGGCAACTATTTTTAGCTAAAATTACATGTTAAAAACAAATCATTAAGGAGGGAACAGGGTGTGGGGTAGGCAGTGGTGGATCTTCTTGTATTAATTTTGATTAAATAAATGAGCCAAAGATATTAACATAACCACAGTGTTAAACAAGGTCTGGTGTTTGGTATATAGAAACTTCAGCCTGCTTAATACCATGGCAAAACACTATTAAAAGTCCTTTGAACTTTTTATTAAAGATACAGAACAGAAGGGAAAGCATTTGAAATGTAAAGTATTAAGTAAGGCTTTCATTTTAACAACATCCCTTGTTCCCTTTCCCTGCAGAGATTTAGAAGGAAAAACCTCATTTGACAGTCTTGTAGATGTTGTTAAAGACAGTAAAAACTGTTCTTCTGGGGAAAAGAGAAGATGTTAGTTGAAATGAGCTGGAACTGTTGCCAAAGTTCAAACCAGTTTCATCTCAGGTAGTGTTGGGATTCACGATGTCACCAGAGTCCCTCTCTGGCCCGAGTTGGTCAGAATATGTCTCAGGATTAGGACCAAAAGGGTCTGGAGTCCTAGAAGATGCAGGCGGGGGGGCGAGAGAAAGAGAAGGGTCGGGGGCAGCCATGATGTGAAGCTCACTCCAGTAGCCTCCATCTGTTCTTCCTCTGATTTTTTTTTCTGTTCTTCTCCACACAAATTCCCTTTTTCTTTCTTTAAGGACCCCCAAAGGGAATGGTGGGTGGTACAGCCCAACACCTCATTATTTAGTCTACCAATTATGCCTAATATCCAGCATGCCAATTTTGGTTTGTTAATTTCCGGTTTCACATATTGTTTTTACCAACCATGATTTTGAATCAGTCCTTGAATCATATCGTGGTCTTTTTGTTCAGACTAATTCAGTTTTTCTGTCTCCATTTTGTTCCTTTTCCCATCAACTTTTCTTGTTATAGGTTATTGTATCATCTACTTTTTACAACTGAGCTTGCAATTAAAGTACATTTGTCAGCCCAATTATCACAACGGCCCCCAGAAATTAAACTGTGTAGAATTTGACAAGGTACAAAAATAACTATTAGCAGAAACAGCCCAAGGACAGGTAGGAGTTATAACCTCATATTTCTCTTGAGTGATTCTTTCTGTCTGATTAAAGGAGTGGCTTTGCTCAGAGCCAGAGGGAGCAGTGTCTGCCTAATGTGCCTGGAGACCAGGGTGAACAGTGAGAAAAATAATACATATCCCTTATATAATGCTTTCCATCTGTAGATAACATGGCAGTATCCCCATTATGAGAGATGAAGAAACAGAGGAACAAAGACAGATTCACAGATTCCAATGCCAGAAGGGATCATTGTGATCATCTAGCCTGACCTCCTATATAACACGGGCCAGGAACTTCCCCAAAATAATCCCTAGAGCAGATCTTTTAGATAAATTTACAATCTTGATTTAAAAATTGGCAGGGATGGAGACTAGAGTCCACCACAACTCCCAGCAAATTGTTCCAATGAGTAATTACTCTGTTAAATATTTACACCTTCTGTCCAAAAGACTAGCCAAACACCCAGCAGGTCAGTGGCTGAGCTGGGAATACAACCCATACTGGCAAATATTAAATGAATTCTCAATAGAGCAGCGGTTCCCAAACTTGTTCCGCCGCTTGTGCAGGGAAAGCCCCTGGCAGGCTGGGCCGGTTTGTTTACCTGCTGCGTCCTCAGGTTCAGCTGATCGCGGGTCCCAGTGGCCACGGTTTGCTGCTGCAGGCCAATGGGAGCTACTGGAAGTGGCGTGGGCCAAGGGACATACTGGCTGCTGCTTCCAGCAGCTCCCATTGGCCTGGAGCAGAGAACCGCGGCCAATGGGAGCCGCGATCGGCTGAACCTGCGGACGTGGCAGATAAACAAACCAGCCAGCCCGCCAGGGGTTTTCCCTACACAAGCAGCGGAAGAAGTTTGGGAACCACTGCAATAGAGCATTGCTAAATTTTCTTGCATCCTTTTTATGCACTATAATTGAAGCTTTGTTCATTCAAGAATTTGCAGAAGACAAACTTCAGGCCCATTGTCAACATTAACTTAATCACAAAACAGAATACATTTTGCTACAAAATGAAATGCCTTTTCATTGGAAGCAATTGATAGAGGGCAGAGTATCCAAACAGGAAAGAGAAACAATGCCATGTGACATAGATGACCCATCTCACAGCTGGAATATTGAATTGTAATTATCAAGTACTTGGAGGAATTCACAGCATATAATTTTTGAGCACAAAACTTTTGGCAAGTGGTTTGGGAATGGCAAAAAAATTAGTTTAAAAAATGCAAACTGCTCATGTACAATTTGCATACAGGAAAAAGGGCTAAACTCACCAAATAAATTGTTAGCTGCAGTTTGTTCATTTGATTCTACCTACCAGTCCTTTGGCTCTAGTATTGTCAAGGGGGTTCTCAATGGTGGGTTTTGAGAAGAGGTTAGGGTTTCAGTTGAATAATTTGTGGATTGTGGGGGTGGGGGAAGGGATAGGCCTGCAGTTGTACAATGCTACATCCTCCCCTGAGAACATTTTTGGAAATGGTGGGACAAAAAAATATTGCTCTTTAGAAAGCCAGGGGGAAAAATATTATATTTGTTCCTGATCAGGAACAGTTTAGCAGTATCCAAAGAGGAAGATGATCTTTCCTGGGAGCAGAGAAATCCCTCCCTTCAAATCATCTATTGAGTAGGGCGGGGGGGGGGGGGTAGAGGTGTTGGTTGATTGTGGAAGATGGCTCCCCTCAAAAAAAAATTAAGCTCCGAAGTTTTCATGGGAGAAATGGATCTAACTGTAACTAGCAGGAAGAGCTTTTGCAGCTGTCTTGCTTAGAGGATTGAAAAAACATGTAAATGAAAAAAAACCACCGGCCTGCCAAGCAAGAGACAATTGGGAGCTGTAACTAGGTCATGCATTCACTGCTTGCTGGAGAACTTGAAATATTGCCTAGAAGCAAGAGTTTTATGAACAGAATTGTTTCCTCTCCCTTTCACTGTTAAAAGCCTGTTTTTCCTCTGTGTAAGAAAGCTAGCTATGGTGTGCCGCAAACATACACACATCCCTAGTATATGGGTAGAAGCAGGTGGGAGCTCCACCAGAACCAGCTGCATTACCCAACCTTTGGGGAAGGGAGCAGTAGAGTCCTTCAGAGCCTTAATAGCGTCCCTGTGTATTATTAGCAGGGAGAGAAGGAGGTGGTGTGCTACTCTGGAACCTCCTACATGCTTTCCACCATTAGACCTCCCCTTTGCAGCTACCTTCCAAACCCTCCTGCCCGCCCACTGAACTGCTATATATGATCCTTCAATACCAGCCTTTGCTCTGTGGAATCTTCTCCTGTCACACTGCAAACGCTGCTTATTCCAAGTCATAAGCAGCTGAGAATCTAACCAGAAGGCACTCAACATGGGTAAGAAACTGTCCCCAGTCTGCAACTAGCATTAGGCATGAAGACCCACAGTTTTGGCTGGTGGTTCCAACCTGTTATCTTGCCGCTGTTGGTATTTGCAGGCTGCAGCATTTATCCTTTGAAACTTCTTACTTTTTCCCTAAGCAGGGACTTGCAGATTTGCTACTGAATAACCAGTGCAGAGTACGTGTAAGGAGCACTGTGGGCTAAAGTTTTGTTCGACTGATAAAAAGTTTTTCTTTAAGCTACTTAAACTAAAAATAGCACTAAGTTTTAAAATCTTTAACTGCATCTCTTGGTATGTGAGCAACAGCTACATTTGTTTGTTTCAGAATTTGGAAGCTGCATGAAATGAGTAATAACGGTAATCTTGCTGAGTGACTAATTCTGAATCTCCCCTCTTTTAAGGGAGACTGTCAGGTAGCTAAGGACCAACATATAACACTGTATTTACTTGCTTTCTACAAATCCTACTACTAATATAAAGTCCTTTTGGAAACATTTTTTGGGGAAACAATGAACACAAATAGAGGATTTTTTTCTTTAGATATAAATATTCCCCTATATTATTTACAGCCTAAATAGTATATTGTTCTTGTCATGTTACATGAAAAGGTCCTTGAAGACCATGGTAAAAAACCCTTATAGAGGCAGAATGCTAAACTGACTAGACTGGCTAGACTGACTAGACTGACCAACCTGAATATTTCCTTTCTGCAGTTCTGACAGTATAAATGGTGAAAAGTAAACTAGAGTTTGTTTATTAGGAGGATTTGATTAGTAACACAGATAAGGCTCCTGTCATAATGACTGCAGTGTACATGCCTAAAGAGTGATCCGAATACCACACATATAGAGAAAACTATGTTTCTGTGCCAACACAGAATTGAGATGCTTTATGGATTTCTGATTAACCCTAAATCAATCTCCGATGTGGGAGGAGGAAGCCCTCTTGTGCAGATTTTTAGAGTCGAGACAGAATCCTCGATCTCCATGATCATGAGTGATCAGTTGTTTAGGTGGGGTCTTGTTTCGCTTTTTCACACAAGTGTTACTTTTGGTCCTTTCATACTGTTAATGCTTAGTTTGTGACTGTTGAACAATGGCATAATTACTGCTATTGTCCTCCAGGTCTGCTGTATATGCTTATCAGTTTAATGTGGGCAAAGTTATGTCATAAAACTAACTTGTTTGACTACCTCCTTTTTAATGTGTTACTGGATAAGTTAAACAATCTTGTAGCTGGATAAGAGAACTGCCTGTTTGTTCAAACTAGATGATGTGCAAAAGATATTCCACTGCACCAATCTAATGCTTCCAGTATGAAGAGGAAAACTAAAGACTTACTCCCATTTGTTTTGCTGTAAATGGGTTTCCCCCATCTCAAAAAGAGTATAGCACAGACATGCTTTAATGTAAGCTAACTTACAAAGCATACAGTAGTAGTGGTGGGCTGTGTTGATCAATGTGAAAGGTCTGTTAGGCTCATTATACAAGTTTGTTTTATGGGAGGCAGTTATAACTTGGCTATAAGAATTTAATGTTGCTGAGTCATGGTACACAGTGTCAAACTCAAATTGTGCAATCATATACATAAAAGTGTAGTTGTTTAGTGGTGCAGTTAAACATGCTGTAATCTTTCATACTCCTTTAACCTCAAACATACTGCTTTAAACTAAATTATGTAGAAAGGTATCCCTTGATTGTGCAAATGGCTATTACATTGAACTAACTGGCATGCAATACTCTATCCAGAGGCTGAAACAGTTTTTGTGATCATATTGCATGTTGTAAGTTTATAAAATCTATAGTCTCTTTAGGCAGACTTCCAACAACTCCTGTTTGATCTGAACAGTCTGCAGATTTACTGTAGCTGCCTCAATAGGCTTTATAGCTCAGCCATAATAATGTAACAGCCAGGTTGCATAAGCATAAAGGAAATGACCTTTTTATTTTTAAAATACTGTTCTTCTCAGAAATTATTCTTAAAATAGGCTCCCACATCCCATTTTTATCGCTTGCATGGTACCTAGTGTCTTTGGGCTTCTTTTTGTATTCCCATGGCACCTTTGCCCGATAAATCTGAAAGCATTTTACTGCTATTTATTAAAAGTCTACAGCCCCCTGGGACTAACATGATCCAATAGCTGGAAGTTGAAGCTAGACAAATTCAGACTAGAAATAAGGTATATACTTTTAACAGTGAAAATAATTAACCATCGAAACAATTTACCAAGGGTCATGGTGGATTCTCCATCACTGACAATTTTAAAATCAAGACTGGATATTTTTCTAAAATATCTGCTCTAGGAATTACTTTGGGGAAGTTCTGTGGTCTGTGTTATACAGAAGGTCAGACTGGATGATCGCAATGGTCCCTTCTGGCATTAGAATCTATGAAAGTATTATTATTCCCAAACAGGCACAGAGAAATGAAGTGACTTGCCCTAGGATCACACAGTGAGTCAGCAATAGCTACAACTAGAACCTAGGTATCTTGAGGTTAGTCCCCTGTTCTGACCACTAGACTAGAGCAGGAGTTCTCATCCTTTTTCTTTCTGAGGTCCCCCCAACATGCTATAAAAATTCCACAGCCCACCTGCACCCCACAACTGTTTTTCTGCATATCCACTAGATTAAATCCAAGGCTGGCGTTAGGGGTAGCAAGCAGGGCAATTACCCGGGGCCCCATGAAGCTAAGTTACTTGGGCTTCAACTTCAGCCCTGGGCGGCAGGATGGTGGCGGGGCTCAGGCTTCAGCTTTCTGCCCTGGGCCCCACCGAGTCTAACAACAGCCCTGCTCTCTGGTTTATTTTGGCAGACCCGCTGAAACCTGCTTGCAGCCCTCCAGGGGAGCCCAGACCTCTGGTTGAAAGCCCCTAGACTAGAGGATACAGTCTTCACTTTCTGACTTTGTACAGCAGGTTCTCTCATTTAGCAGAGCTTGGAGTGGTTAAAACACTAGGGTGGGGATGAACTGTAATTCTCAGGGATGACCTTTGGTTGTATAAAGAAAAGGAGTACTTGTGGTACCTTAGAGACTAACAAATTTATTTGAGCATAAGCTTTCATGAGCTACAGCTCACTTCATCGGATGCATACTGTGGAAAGTGTAGAAGATCTTTTTATATACACACAAAGCATGAAAAAATACCTCCCCCCACCCCACTCTCCTGCTGGTAATAGCTTATCTAAAGTGATCACTCTCCTTACAATGTGTATGATAATCAAGTTGGGCCATTTCCAGCACAAATCCAGGTTCTCTCCCCCCACACACACACACACACAAACCCACTCTCCTCCTCTTTTCCAGCTTACAGAGCACCCTCTGCAG